ACCAGCAAGCACTTCAGAACATTTTGCTGAGAATGGAGGCTCAAACCAAGATGTCTCTTTATTATTGGTTCCTTATTCAGCAGCACAGAGTTCTTTGTGCGTGCCCTTCTTCTCCTTTTCCCTACTTTCATCTTCTTCTCCTTTTCCCTACTTTCATCTTCTTCTCCTTTTTCCTCCTGTCATCTTTTTCTTGAGAAAAATGAAAGTAATGGTTTGTCTCCTAAGCTCTAAATTATTTTCTCATGACCCATTAAAGAGTTACTACAACAACAATATCCAAATACCCCTCAAAAAATGAACCAAAAAAACTCATAAAAAACCAAAATCAAACAAACAAAAACCCCACCCAGACTAACCAACCAAACAAACAAAAAAAACCCCAGTAAATCTTTGTTTTCTAGTTTTTTTTTAATCAGGTAAGCTAAAGTATGAATGTTTATTAGTTAGTTTGGGTGGATTTCCATAGGATAATAACCTCTTGGTGCTGAATTCTTCAAATCTAGCAAGCAATAAGACTCCCTGACCAAGCCCTGAGAAATTCTGAACTTTTCTGTATTTCAGAGTTGGATTTTTCTGTTTACTGATGATTTTTGTTGTTTTCACTTATACTTGCTACAGTCTCTAAAACAGTTTTAAAAAACTACAATCAATATCTGAAGGCTCCTGGGGTAACTGACATACATCCATGCAACTGAGAGCTAGGTGCTACAAACTTTAAAAGAACTCGGCCAAGCAGCTATTGAGCAATGTATGTCACAGCTGGCACTTCCTCTCTAGCAGAAATAAAATAACTGAAGGCTCTTTATTAAACTACTCTTCTGTGTAAAATTATGTATCTTTACTATTTGGACAATGATGATCTTCTCTTTTGGTCAAAACTTGATAATCTTTCAGATTTAAGAGAAAAAAATATAATCTTCTGAAAATTCAGGCATGAGGAATAAGAGATTAAGCTAATGTAATTTCATAATTGTGATTACCAATGATGGGTCTTTACAGCTTTAACGTTTTGGTCTGCCACATGCATCCCAGCATTTATCTAAGTGTCCCTGTGAACACAATCACACTCCAAAACAGCACAGATGGCAAAAGTATTTCCATACATGTTTTGAAGTTTTCTTCTAAAGGAAGCAAATATTCTTCAGAAACAGAAAAAAAAAGGAATTGAAATACGGTTTAATTTTGAACCTCTTTTAATATTAAAGTTATGCAAGTTTGATTAAACCAGAAATTTTAACCAAGAGTGAACTGCTCACTGAAGAACAGCTTTGTGTAGTCCGCAGCTGAATTTCCACAGCACTATGCTGTTCCACAGTCCTTCAGCTCCCTCTGCTGTTTATTCGATCCACAAATTTTTCATATTTGCACAGAGTTTTTACTTGTTTTTTTTAACCTCTGTTTCGATGTGAAGAAAGGATGCAGGTTAAAATTGCACCTGAAATAATGAAATGATTGCTCAAATTGATAAACAGTGTGTGCAAAGTTCCATGTAATTATTGTCCCTCCTTTTCTCAGGGAATAGAAGAAGCCCATTAGACCGTCCTGATTGCTTTCTGGTGACTTGCTGTGCATACATTCTGCCATTATAATTTGACTTGGTATAACTGAAAAGTATCCATTGCTTAAACTGACTTTTTCTGGATATACAATTTTATTTCATAGAAATTATTACAGAGAATCAAAGAATCATTTGGGTTGAAAAGATCATTGAGTCTGACTGTTAAGAGTAACAATGTCAAGTCTACCACTAAACGTGTCTTCTAAATACTTTCAGGGATGGTGACAACCATTTCCCTGGACAGCCTGTTCCAATGCTTGACAATCATCTCCATGAAGAAGTATCTCCTAATATCCAATCCAAACCTCTCTGGGTACACCTTGAGGTTGTTTCCTTTTGTCCTGTCACTTGTTTGGGAAAAGAGATCAGGCCCCACCTGGCTACAGCCTGCAGTAGTCACACAGAGAGATAAAGCTTTCCCCAGACCCCCTTTTCTTCATTATAAAGAAGCCAAATTTCTTCAACTGCTTTTTATCCGACTTGTGCTCTAGATGCTTCATCAGCCCTATTTCCCTTTTCTGATCATGCTCCAGCACTTCAGGTGAGGGGCTTGAAACTGAGCACAGGATTCAAGGTGTGGCCTCACCAGTGCTGAGTATAAGGGGATGATCATTGCCCTGGTCCTGTTGGCCTCACTATTTCTGATACACACCAGGATGCCATTGACTTTCTTGGCCACCTGGGCACACACTGGCTCATGTTCAGACAACTATCAACCAACACCCCCAGGTGCACCTTTCCAGACACTCTCCCCTCAGCCTGTAGTGCTGCACAGGCTGCCTTTCATAAGGCATGCTGGATGGGCCTGACCCCTGGTTGTCCTGTATGTGCCACATCATGGCACTCAAGATGATCTGCTCCATGACCTTCCCCACCTCAAAGGCAAGTCCAACAGGCCTCTAGCTGCCTGGATCCTTTTGACTCTACTTGTAACTGGGCATCACATTTGCTAACCTCCAGTCAACTGTGGCCTTCCCATTAGGCCATGACTGCTGTTAAAGGATGGAAGATAGTTCAGTGAGCACTTCTGCCTGTTCCCTCAGTATCTGTGGCTGGATTCCATGCAGTCCCAGGGACTTGCATCTGTCTAAGTGGTGTAGCAGGTCACTGAACGTTTCCCCTTGGATTCAGTCTGCTCCCTGCCCCTGTCCCTCATGTCAGGGGGCTGGGCTCTCAGAGAATAACGGGTATTACTACTAAAGACTGAGGCAAAAAAGGCATTGAGTACCTCAGCCTTTTCCTCATTGTTACTGTTTCCCCTCCCATCCAATAAGGCATCCAGAGTCTCCTTAGCCCTCCTTTTGTCACAAAGGTACTGATTGAAACACTTTTATTTTACGCAATAGCCGGATTAGCCTCTAGCTAGGCTTTGGCCCTTCTAATTTTCTCACTGCAAAACCTCATGATATCCTTGTAGTCCTCCTGAGAGGCCTGGCCTTTCTTCTAACTCTCCTGTTTTCCCTGAGCTCCTGCCAAAGCTCTCCGTCTGGCCTGCTCCAGCCCCTTGACAATTTCCTTCTTGAAGATTGTCCAGCCTTCTTGGACTCCTTTGACCTTCAGGACTGCCTCCCAAGGCACCCTGCAAACCATCCTCCTACACAGGATGAAGTCCGCCCTCTGGAAGTCCAAGGTAGCAGTTCTGCTCAGTTCCCTCTTTACTTCTCCAAGAATTGCACAAAATCAAACATTTTGTGATTATAGTGCCCAACATGGTCTCCAACTGTTTCACAGTGATCTACTATGAAACATACTATATGTTAAGATACACTATGAAACATACTATATGTTAAGAAGTGTGTCTTTCTACAACTCAATGTTCTCTTTACTAGCAATATTTCCTGTAGATATGTTTGAATAGATTTTCATAATTAAATGTTTGATATTCACCTATCAAAAATATTAAAGAAAAAAAAAAGCAGCTTGTATACTTGCATTTTCTAGTTTTTATTGCTATATTTTTCATTTCTAAGTAGACTTCATAAAGCTTATCCCAGATAGAAGACAAATGTATATAATCAAACTATGTATTGGTCAAAATACAATATAAATGCAAACACACACACATTAATTAAAGCAGAACTTTGGTATAAAAAACCCAGCATCATACATCATACTGATTAAAATGGTGACTTGAAAAACAGTAAAGGTTAAGGGACTATTAACACATCCTATTATGCTGATTTCAAAGCATCTCTGATCCTCAGAGGATTTTGGAGACTCCAGGTCTATAGATACTGCATGGATAATGGGAAGCCTAGAATTCAATGTGTAATTTTCTCCATAGGTATCTACATTATTATACCCATTTTTTTCTGTTCAGATATTCAGCCATGAGATTTTGTCAGTCACTGATTAATTACTCCAGAAATTAAGATTATGAAATCTCCATTTGAAATTCTGTAAAACTACTGAAAGCACAGGTTTGAAGAACCTTAGTCAAGACCTAACTTCGTCCAGTACAACAGGGATGACTTTCTGAGGGATCTACATCAATGCTTAGCCTCAGAAGCAATGGTTCCTGTAGGTATGAATTATGCTACACCTGGAAATAAATGCAACCCATTCATAGTCCAACACAAACAGAACTCCTAATTCAGGCTTGATCAGCTTTCTCAGGCACTTTGTGTATGCTACGCTTTGTCCTTTGTGAGGACTGTGCTTAGGTTTTAATCTTCTCAAAGTGACACTGATCAGGAAAAGGCAACACACTGTTGTCATCTTCAGGCACCTTGTTCCTGAGTGACACCTTAGAAGCAGGACCAGTGGGCTGGAGATTTATCACATGACTGAATACTTCCCAGGAGGAAACTACAGAACGATGGTCAGATCCAAAACATTGGAGGGATGTGAAATAAATAGGTGGACTGCAGGAGCCCAAGTCTACAGTCAAATACGGGCCCTGACAAAGGCTGCCAAATTCTGGAGGTACTTGGAATTACCTCCTCCTTTCAGCTACAGCATGTCAGGCTCTTGAAATTGGTGCATGTGCTGGCATTTCCCTTCCTGAGCAGATCAGTGCCTCACTGCAGCTCAAGTCTCACTAGTCCGCTGTCCCACCACAGTCAAATTACATATTGCCTGAAAAAGCTTCATACATTGACAGTCCTCTTGTCACAAAACATTTTGGAACACAGAACAGGAGAAGGCAACACTGATCATCATACCTGGTCCTCCAATACCAAAGACAATGAGGACACGAGCAGCATATTCAGGGCATAAAGGACTCAAGTCACAAAAGCTTTCCCACCACCGGAAATGATAACCACTCAAGAATTTCAGGACGTGCTCAAAAGCAAACGTGGAGGTTACTAAATTTTGGGTTTACCCATAGTTATTAAATCTAGAGCATAGAGCTGTAGTTCAGGGGCCCATCTTTTAAAATAAAGTGATGAAGATTATCAAGTTCATTACTGTGTATTGAAGACAGGGAAAACATTAAGATTTTATGGAAAGATTTATTCAGTGGCAACAAAATTTCAGAAACCAAGTCCTAGTCAGCCAGAGTGAAAAAAGCACATTGAATTGTATTTGACGATCATTTGGCATACTAAATTATCTTTCTGGAATAACAGGTGAGCAAGCACCATTTTTAGTCTTGTTCATTTACCCCATTTACTTCCATGGAAGTTGGCTCACGAAAAATGTCTAAAAAATTAATTAATACGCTTGATAGATTTGCCCTTTCCACGTGCACTTTGGGCATGGACTGTAACTCCAGATGTTACTGAACAATCAGGTATTAATGTAATTCCTCACGTGGCTTTCCCCTCCACCCTTACAAATTAGCATTATAGCGATCTCTGTTCTGAAAGTCTCTGTAAGCACGTTTTGCATCTGCCTTGCTGTGTGGGATTCTTCCAAAAGGTTCCAGATCATTGAAGCAGGCATCAAAAACTTCATCCACAGCTTTTTCTGCTGTTTCTTTGCTAACTTTTCTAACAGCCAGAATGGAACGAATTGCTCTGTCTCGTACACAAGTCTGAAGTGAAAAAAAAAAAAATCTGTCATTATTAGAGTAACTTTTTTCCAGATTTTGTCAAGTACTAACTCCTATTATATAGGTAACAGCTGTGTATGAAAGAAGAGTCAAACAGTGCCTATAGTAAGCATTAAAGTACATTTTAGTTCCATCCTGTGTAAACAATGCGCTTTAGTTTTCCATGTACATATATATCATGAAATAATTAAAAGACATTTCTTAGAACAGGAATTAAAATACAATTTGGCAGTTTTTGTACGTATTAGATATTTGTAAAACTTAACCTGGACACAAAAATACGTCAGAAAGCGACAAACACAAATACCAGTTAGGTTCTTTACAAACTGAAATGCTGTGAAACAATGAAATGACTTCTTTACTGGCCTTCATTTTGATACTTCTCTTCATGGTAACTTTTTCTTATAGTTTGTTTGCCAAAAGACCAAAAAATATGTAAACATCATCTACAAACTAACTGCCACTCTAAAATGAGCAACTACTTGGGTCTCAATCTGTAGACTTCGTTACTATTCACAAAAATAATTCCAACAAGACTTAATACACATGATTATTTAGAAATCTTCTCATTTTGCTTCCTTCAGTTTTCAATAACTTTTTAAGAGTGTCAACCACTTAAAGTGGACAAGGTATTTCCACTACATTTCCTGCAAGCCCTGCTTTATGTTTGGTTTTATCAGCCATCCATTGTCAGTGGTAATGCTTTAAAACATGACTAAATGTTCAGGGATTTCACTCCAATAAAAATAACAAGGTGGGGAAAAAACCTAACACTGATCATAAAGGGTTAGTTAAGAGGAAACAGCAACTCCATAGCATCTATTTCTTTTTCTAAAATTTTCAGCTATGAAAGCTCAAAAGGCTAAGACCAAGTAGGTAACATAATAAATTATTAGATTTTAATAGCCACAGTTTTTACCTGATGGTGCCCTTTCAATCCAAATTTAAACCTGCCTATTTCATTCATCAAAGTACAGTCTCCACTGAGATTAGCAGCTCGAATCTATTGAAAAAAATAAAAAAATCACAAGATCAGAGAAACACATGAATATACAAAGTCCAAGAAATTGTAACAAACATTTTTCTTCTACGCTTCTGATGACTGTTGGTAGGGGAGATTCCCGAGGCCACTTTAACTTCTTAAGCACCTGTTACTACCGTACCCTTTACATCCATCTCAGCCTCAGTGAACTACAACAACCTTCAGGTTTCTCCAGGAACTACCTCTCACACATCCCTAAAATATAAATAAATGAGCAGTAGAGATTATATATATGTATATAGATGAACCGCTAGAAGAACATGGGAAGTAATATTATTCTCCCCAATCTATATCAGAATCTGCTACAGCAGTCAGGAAGAAAGGCAGATACTTTCCAAAGACTACAGATGCAATACCAGAAGAGCTGTAACTCATTTGTTTTGCAAAAACCTACATTTAGATGAGCATGTATGTTTGAGCTTAACTGTCTTGTCCTCTACACTAGAATTTCTTTTGTCTGCTAAATATTTTATACCCTACACTGTCTGTTAGCAACTGTAAATAAATCCTGATTTCCTATAATTAAGTACCATAGTGAAAATAAATGCATGGAAAATGTGAAAAAGTAAGAATTAAAGCTGTCAACAAAAAAAGTAAATACCATAGAATTAAGTAATCAGAAGACCTGAAATGAACAAATAATCCTGACAAGAGCAAGACTTGCTCTTGATTTATATAAAACTTATGTTTGAGGTTTACATGCTTTATTCTGCACTGCAGAAATGCTTGGATAAAAAAATAAAGTATATGAAAGTTAATAATTAAGAATTATTGTATTAGGTTTACATGGCAAAGTGTTGGCAGTGAGCGGCCTCCCAGGGTGGCTTCTGTGAGACTGTAGAAGTGGCTGAGCCTATGTCAGACAGAGACTGTTTTAACTGATTTTAAAACAGACCCACCATTACTGGTGCTGGTTGGATCTCTGTGATGATGCATCCAAGAAAGGATTAAAAACCTACAGGGCAGCTGTGAGACAGAGGAGTGATGAAAATGTGAGGGAAACAGCCCCACAGACACAGAGGAAGGATGGGGAGGAGGTGCTGCAGGCATCAGAGGAGAAGACCATGGAGATAGAGGTTGTCTCCCTTAAGTCTGTGAAGGAACACAGTAGAGCAGATATCCACACTGCAGTCCAAGGAAGACACCATGACACAAGAGACAAACATGCCCTGAAAAACCAGCAGCCCATAGAGAGCCCATGCAGGAGTGCATTTTCTGTCAGGAACTGTGGGCCTTTGGGGGGACCAATGCTGGAGCAGTCCATTCTTGAAAGACTGTATGCTGTGGAAAGAACTCAAGGTAGAGCAGGTCTTGAAGAACAGCAGCCCAAGTGAAAGACTAATGCTGAAGCAGCTCATGAAGGGCTGTATTTCGTGGGAAGGGCCTCAAGCTGGATTAGGGAAAGAGTGCAAGGATGAAGGAGCAGCAGAGACAAAGTGCTATGAACTGACCACAGCTCACATTCCCTGGCTCCCTGCCACTTGGCAGGGAAGGAGATAGAAGAATCAGAAATGAAAGTCTGAAGCTGAGCCTGTGACAAACTTTTCTGTGACAAAATGATATGGATTACACCAGAAATCAAACAAAAGCATGCAGATTCATACACACAACACCTGTGTCACATACACAAGAGAAATCCCTCCCAGCCTGTGCTCCATTTAATTTCACCTCCTGAAGAGTCAAATGTTAAGGCCCTTAAAAGTCAAATGTCCTCTGAAACCACAGAATCATAGAATGGTTTGGGTTTTAAGGGGACTTAAAAATCATCAAGTTCTTATCTCCCTGCCATGGGCAGGGACACCTTCCACTAGACCAGGTTACTCAGAACCTCATCCAGAGGTGATGGATTCATAAGTACAGTGTACTAGCAGCAATACCACAATTACTCAAAAAAATGAATGTTACAGGAAAAGACAAGTTTGTTATTAATCAAAAAAACCTAAACAAAACCAAGGTTACTGTGATAATCGCCCAACATACCATGATTTGCATGGGATAAAAAGAATTCTAAAAGCATTTGATTACCATGTGAATGTGTTTTCACTTCTAACAACTCTCTTATTTGTCAATAACCACTTCTTACACTCACAGTGATCACATTCTACTTAGTATGACACTAACTTACTAATATTTGTGAAAACTAAGTATTTGTTTTCCAAACAAAACTATTTAGGTTGACCTGACAGAAAGGACAAAATGTATTAACAGGATTAAAACAAATTAATTGTGTGTAACACACCACGTAACACAAAGCAGCCCTAATAACCAGCAATAATTAATAAAATGACAACATTAGAAGCATTTTAACTTACCTCTGAACATGCTAAGTGTTTGACATTTTTAAACCAGTCAACATGTGCACGGCAGTGATCAAATGCATGAATCAACTCATGTGTGACCACCCGGTTCATATGCGACTGTTGGCGAATGTTGTTCTGACACAGAACAATCTGCAGAAGAAGAGATATAGGTAGTCCTTTCACTAAGTTTCAACATCTCCCTTACTTCTAAGAGGCACACCACAAGCAGCATTTAGGGTCCTTGGATTGATGTTTTTCAACATTAACAGCCTTATCATACTGAAGTGTACTAGTTCCAATGCCATGGAACATCTTTCATTTCTCTTGTTTTCATTATTAACTCATGTATCAGTACGGGTAGATTTAATCCTAGCCACAAAACACTAAAAAATTGCAAGAGTGCTTTGAAAGAGTGCTATGTCCAGCACCTACCTGAGATGTGGCAGCATCAAAACCTCCACTGACACAGCCATCACAGTTTTCACAAGAAAAGTGCCGGTCATTGAAGACAGTGCTGAAAGGTCCAAACAAACAAAGTCACAGAAAAGAACTTTAAAAATTTCAGTCACTACTTATTACAGTGACATCAGTGCACAGAAAAAGACAAATTAGTTTACATACCAACCAGATTGCTTCAGAGCCTCAAGAAGAAGCCGAGCATATGGATCTAAAAAAACATTGCTGCAATCAATTTCTCTAGACAAAAGTTTTGAAAATCATCTATAAACAAAATATAAAGACAGTCAAGGAAAAATCAAGAAAAGCTCTATACACGCAAATTTATACTTTGCAATATTTAATCCTATTGCAATGTAACTGGCATCTGTTACAGATCAGACTATGTGATATAGAATCATAGAACTGTTTGAGTTGGAAGGGAGCTTAGAGATAAACAAGCTCCAATCCCCCTGCCTTGGGCAAGGACACGTTCCACTCGACCCGGCTCCTCAGAGCCCCATCTAACTGGGCCTTGGAACACGCCCAGATGGTGCAACCACAGCTGCTCTGGGCAACTGTCCCAGTGCCTCACCACCCTCACAGTAAAAAATTTCTTCTGTGTATCCAGCCTAAATTTGCCCTCTTGCAAAACTCGTTATTCCTTATCCTATCACTGCAATTCCTGATGAGGAGTCTCTGTCTGGCTTCCACGTATGCCCCTTCAGACACTGGAAGGTTGCTCTGCGGTTTCCATGCAGCCTTCTCTTCTGCAGCTGAACAGCCCCAACTTTCTCAGCCTGTCTTTGTAGGGGAGGTGCTGCAGCCCCTTTACCAACTTGACAGCCATTTCTAGACTCACTCCACCAGTTCCATCTTCTTCTTATGCTGGGGGCACCAGACCTGGCTGCAGTACTGCAGGTGGGGTCCCAGAAGAGCAGAACAGAGGGGGAGAATGACCTCCCTGGATGTATGGCCATGGTCTTTTTGATAGGCCAGAACATAGAGTAAAAGCTGTTCAGGAATCAAGTCACTCCTGACATTATTTTATTACCAATAAACATAAATAGAGCAGCCTATAGTGACCATCGTTGCTTGCTGTCAACACGCACAGTCCACATCAAACAGTGCAAGGGGCACAAATGCACAGACATTGACAAATCATCTCAATTTCTCAGGAAAAAAAAGAAGCACAGGAGAACTTCTTATAAGAAAAAAAGCCTCTCTCTGCCACTTTCGAAATTGTATTTTATCTTAACCAAAATCAGCGTGTTCCTAAATCAGCAGCCGCACCCCGCCACCGGCTCGGGCCCAGTCCGGCGGCCGCGGGGGTGCTGCAGCAGGAGGGCCGGGCCCTCCCCCGGACCCGCGGCACAAGGTCACCGCCGCTGGCGGCCGCGGGCGGCCCGGGCTCCGCCTGGCACCTCTCCCGCGCCGGGCCGGGCCCGCGGGAGGACGGGGAGCGCTTACTCGTTTCCAGGGTCAGTCTCAGCATCAGCTGGCACCTGTTGTGAAAGGTGAAGAGGCTGCGGACCAGGAAACTCTGCGGCTTCTTATTCCGGTCCGGGAAGAGCCGGTAGCCGAAATCATCCTCCTCCTCCTCTGCCCCTTTCTTCTCAGCCGCCGGTGGCGAATCCGCCTCCCCCTGCGCCATGTCCGGCCGTGCGGGCCCGCGCCTGCCGGGGGCCGCGGGGCCCAGGGCCGCGCCAATCGCCGGCCGCTCTCCCGGCACGTGGGCGGGGGGCTGCGCGCGCAGGCGCAGTTGGCTCCGGGCGCCGCGGGCCGCGCGGCAGGCCGGGAGCGGGCCGGGCAGCGCGGGAGGAGCCGCGGCGCGGCGCAGGTGAGGCCGGGGCGGGACGGGGTGAGCGCGGCGTGCGGTGCTCGGGAGGCGCCGTGCCGCAGCCGCATCCCCGCCCCTGTGGGCCACGGGCGGCTTGGCCGCGCGGGGAGGCCAGGCGAGGCGTGGGGAGTACAGCCTGATGGAGTCAAGGCCTCGCTTGCACTTGCGGGCGGTGCTGGGGCTCGCAGGGGCTGCTCTGCCTCGGGGCCTCCTGCGGTGCGGCCTCGGGACCCGCCCCAGGGCCGGCCCGTGCTGCGGCCGCTCCAGGGGAGCCGCTGGGAGCAGCCGTCTTCGGGCGTTGGGAGGGCTCAGCTCTCAGTTGAGAGTTGAATAAAAGTGCCCTGAAGGGTTTAAGGGCTGCGGCGCAGAGGCTGCTCTCTGTGCGTGGATTAAAGGCGTCGCTAAGTTGTGTGCGGCCAGTTGGTAACGGAGCAATTTGACTTTATGCACTTTAGCAGGATGCTTTAGAGTGGCAGAGAATAAACTGCCAGACGTCGTGTTCGGTTTTCGCCTGCGTGAGAATATTGTTTTAGTCAGACTTAGGAAAAAGAAAAGGTCAATAGATTACAAGGTATTTTTTTGCATATTTTTAAGTATCTTGTTGTGTCTGCCTAGAAATGCTAACCTGTATGGAATATTTGATGTGTCCCCTGCCCAAGTTGCACGAAATTACAAACTGAATATTACAGTGGTAGTTCGGCATGGGACAACAGTTGTAGGTGGATGAAAACATAGTAAGCTGCTTGACTGAAAACGTGATGAAAGCTATGTAATTTTGGCTTCAATGAAAATTGATTTCTGTTTTGTTTCAAATAGACCTAATGCATTGTTGAGGATAATTATGTCACCACCTGTGCCTGAGCTAGGGAGAAACAAACTGCTGCAGCAGGGCATCTACTCAGCTGCTTATTCCTGAGCATGTAAAAATATTTCTGCTTTGGTAGCATTAGTTCACTAGTAATTATGCAGTGGGTTTTTCCATCTCTTTTGAGACCCTTGTCTGTAATTATGGATGGCACATTGTACCACAGAAATCATTAGCTTTGTCTGGCTCATAAATTTTTATATTGTTGTGCTACTAGTTTATTGCACAGGTGTGAAAAATAACGTTAAATAAAGCATGTCAAATAGCCTAGATCTTTTTCTTCCTTAAAAGTTTTATGTGTAGTATCTCTACAAATAGCTTATTTATATGTCCATGAGGCTTGTAACAGATCCTGAAGCTCGCCATCAAGAGGTTAGTTAGCAACCATTCATAACTCTTTGTCTAAGTTTGTATTTAGCTTATCATGAGTTACTTAATCATGATTGTTTTCAAAACATGTTTACCTCATCCTTTCTGATTTTTGTGCTATGAACTGTACCCATATGGGGTTTCTTTTTTTTCTGAATTGTAACCAAAATTTTTAAGGTTACTTTTTAATTGTGACTTGATGTTTTTGGGATAAAACTTCTTTCACTTAAGACAACAAAATCTATGAAGACAATCAAGTGTTAATAATTATTAAACAGTGTTGTAGGGACTTGCTTGCAGTTTCAGGATTACCATTCACTTGTTGGGTGCTTTACCTTATATTTAGTTAGGAAAACGTGAATTGCTGTTTGTCATTATATAGTTTGTTTTATCTGAATAATATGACTTCCCTTCATTTTTTCAAAGACATTTAAACTGTGTTTCCTCCTTAGTCTCTTAATGTTTAATTTTCCTACTATGCTGTTGGGAGGTCTGACTGGCATGTAAGTCAGACTTGTTAATGTTGAAGTATTCTTCCTTCACTACATACTTCCAACTTCTTTTTAGAAGGCTTTTTTCCTTGAATTTTGGCAGGTTATGATGAGTGCACCAAGTAAAGCCATAGAGCTGCAGCTGCAAGTGAAGCAAAATGCTGAAGAGCTGCAGGATTTTATGAGAGAATTGGAGAGCTGGGAAAAAGATATTAAGGAAGTGGATTCTGAACTCAGGAAACAGAGTGGGGTCCCAGAAGAGGTAAGAAAACGCAAGACCTGTGTCAACTCAGCTATTCATACTGTGATAATGTTTATAATAATTATGTTTTGCATTAGCAAAATTACATTTTTTTACTTAAAATATCTGAATAGAAGGCATAGAGTAATCTGTGTGTTCTTCACTTGAAGTAAACTACAGATTTCTCTGTAAACTGCACCACCAACAGAGCTGTGGGCCAGTAGCACCTGAAGGTGATGAGGCCAGTAAACTTTTTATCAGTTCTGGGTAGATCTATGAGAATATTTCTGTTTGCAGCATCAGTATTGGTAATTTACTGCTGACATGTAGTATATTGAAGTGATTCTTTAGTGATACTCTGAAGACAGTTGTCTTCTAAAACTGGGTTTTATATCATACATGTAATATTTACTATTAAGTCTTTAAAGATTTATGCTTGTAGTTCTTAGTGGTTTTGTAGAGCTCATGAGAACAGCTTGCTGGATGGATTTCTAAAATAAAACTAGCCACTAGATACATATTCTGTCTAGATACAGGTGTTGTAGATTCTTCAGTGCAAGTGATTTCCACACACCTGTTTTATAATAAGTTACTTAATTCTGTTTAGAATTTGCCACCAATTCGAAACAAGGCTTTTAAGAAAAAGAAGAAAAGCAAAAATAAAGTCCCTTCAAAGATAACCTCTGAGGAAAACAAGAAAAACAAGATCAAGTCTTACGATTATGAAGCATGGGGAAAACTTGATGTGGTGAGTCTTAAGATTTGCTTTGTTGCCAGAGTCTTGTCCCCAGTTGATTCTGTGTTAAATAAGATTTTGTTCCAGTGCTGAGAATCAGTCCACTAGTCAGTATCTTACTGTGCTGGGTACTGTATGAACATAGGGTAGTTTTCACCCAAAAAGATTGCAAGTTTAGTATTTGGAATATTCATAAATACTTGATTTTTTTATTGACTGTGCTTTTATCTAGCAGATTGAATTTTAGTTTAAGGGGAAAAAAAAGCCTGTTTTAACAATAAGCCTATTAAAAGGTCATAATTCTAGTAGAATATAAGACTAAGCACAACTGTCAGTATTGGAGGACACATTAATAAAATCTTACTTGTATTATTTTGCACTGTTAAATTATAATGAAGACAACATCTTGATTTTTTGTTTCTGATTCCAGGATAAAATACTTGAAGAACTTGATAAAGAAGATAGTACTCATGATTCTGTATCTCCAGAATCAGACTCCGAAGAAGATGGAATTCACGTAGATGCTGAAAAGGCTCTTGCAGAGAAGGAAAAGGTTATAGAATTGTAGATGTTTATTATTGGTAAAGAAGAAATTTAGGTATAGGAGTATTTGCAATTTTCTTTTAAAAGATCATCTGCTGAGACCACACATCTGGTGAAAGAATTGCCTATTTGGAAGTCTTTTTGTCTGCTTCCCTGCCCATTATTCCAAAATAGAAAATTCTCACTGCAGTTCTATTCCTTCTCATTGTTGGTAGCAGCAAGCTTGGCAGATTCTAATTAATGTATGTCTGTGATGACAAATGTATTGGTGATGTTTTGCTTTGAGAAGTTGAATGGCTGTATAGAATTGCTATATAGAGCAAACTGGTTTTTACCTGAACACAACATCTGAATGCCCCAAACTAAATCTGCAAGAACTTAAAAATACTCCCTTTGTGAGGCCAGTACATCTGGGAATGGTGGATGAACTTCGTTGCTTTAATAATGGAAAGTTCATACTGCTTCAGTTTTGCGTAATAGAGTAGGATATAGAAAGAGATCTGTCTCAGGCTTTGTTGCCATAAGAAGGAGGCTAAATTGTGTAGCAGCTTCTGTGTGTTTGATAAGCTTCTCTGTTTGTAAGCAAACACCTAACCCATCTGCCAGTCAATATTGACTTCAGTAGTTCTGGCTTTGGTTTGGGTTTTTGTAGGGTGGGTTGTTTTTCTGTTTATTTTAAATTGTCTGCATGGGTGATATTTATGTTGTATTCCTGCTGCTGTGGGAATTCCTTCACGTGCAGTCTACACTGAGAAGCTGAGGTATCTTTGGCCATTATTATCTTGGCTGCAGTGAGGTCGTTGAGGATGTGTGTGAGGTAAAAGTTGTGTCCCAGAGGAGGCAGAAATGAAAATGTTGGCTTGGAATGCAAAGATGCCAAACCTAGTTACTGAAAACTTAAAAAAACCTCATTTGGTAATTTAAGTAGCTATGTATATGCTTGTTACACATTTCTGGAAATGACCTAGAGATACTGAAAATGAATACTTTATAGACCTCTGTTAGAGAATATATAATGAAAATATTTAATATGGTGCACTTAGAATGTGTTAGCATATTTCATAGTAAAGCAGTATTTTATGAGGAATGTTGAACAAAAATATTTAAGCATTTCTAGAATACTTTGTATTTTTAGGGGTTTTAATTAGCATTGTAGCTGCCAATATACAATAACTTGCTGAAAATTCTGAAAAATGCTGAAAAACTTGTTCTTTTCTATTCACAGGGTAATAAATACTTCAAACAAGGAAACTTTGATGAAGCTATAAAATGCTATACTAGAGGGATGCATTCTGATCCATACAATCCAGTATTGCCCACAAACAGAGCATCAGCTTTTTATAGAATGAAAAAGTAAGCCTTGCATTGTTAAATCTGTGCTATTTTTGTACTTGAAACACTACCTTCAGATTTTTGGTCTAGTTTTAATTCGTGATTTATGCATCATGCTGTGTTGTTGCAACCTGCCTTCCAGTTTCAAAGTAAAATAGGAATCACCGGGAGAAGCAATCTGCTAGTCTCCCTCATCAATTTTTCCTTGGCTTGCACACCAGCAGTTCACCATCTTCTGTGTTAACAGTGTAAGACTTCAAGAAAAAAGAGGAAG